TATATATATATATATATATATATATATGCATATGTAAAAGTTGAAAATGCAAAAGTTGAAAATGCAAAAGTTGAAAATGCAAAAGTTGAAAATGCAAAAGTTGAAAATGCAAAAGTTGAAAATGCAAAAGTTGAAAATGCAAAAGTTGAAAATGCAAAAGTTGAAAATGCAAAAGTTGAAAATGCAAAAGTTGAAAATGCAAAAGTTGAAAATGCAAAAGTTGAAAATGTAAAAGTTGAAAATGCAAAAGTTGAAAATGCAAAAGTTGAAAATGCAAAAGTTGAAAATGCAAAAGTTGAAAATGTAAAAGTTGAAAATGCAAAAGTTGAAAATGCAAAAGTTGAAAATGCAAAAGTTGAAAATGCAAAAGTTGAAAATGTAAAAGTTGAAAATGTAAAAGTTGAAAATGCAAGATTATTAGGTACATGCATGTGGCATGTTAGGTCTCGGCCCTGCAATGTTTTACTCGCACAACAGTTCATCTCCGTCAAATAAATTGTATATAAATACTATTTGGTCTTGAACATTTTGTGAAAGTCTGTGACAGTGCACAATGGTGTTAGAGGTTACTCCTGGTAAGTATTCATTATTTTATATTCAATATACGAATAAATGACATTTTATAGTTGACGTGTTGCAATCTGTCATCACGTGTGCCGCTTATTTTTATGTTTATGTCTTGTAGAGATTCTAAATACTATTCAGAGACTTTTAATAAAACTGAAAACAAATGCTATGATACTTAAGTATCTTTACCGTCATTACGGGATTACTTTAAGGTATTAAATTACTCACGCGTATTATTATTTGTATATTAGCAATAAACCTAATAATTGATTAAATATATCAATAATTAAGCCACACAACAGAAATGCATCTGTATATAATGTATGTATGTGTATATTATGCACCTCAAAATGTGATGGGGGAAGGGGCAATATGGTTTTTAGACAGTGTACTACTCTGATCTTTGATAAATGTAAAAGATAAATTTCTCTTGCGTAAATATCTGTGTGACAATTTTGTAGCGTTCGGACATTACAAAGAGTGATGCAATATCATGACTTGAAGAGGTATGATGATACATTGACACCGCAGCAAGTAGTCGATGCGTTACAGGTACGATTTAACCCTTGGCAATACGCCAAAAGTCAGCTAGGGTGGTAGCGACTGCTTAATTTAAATAACATACGGCTTTAAAATACTGACAATTGATTAATTTAGTACGACTAAATTCTAAACAAATTGTGAATTTCTATGTGCTATAACGCTGTTTTCTGACCATTAGAATTCTGTCCACGATATCAGATGGCATTTCAGAGACTCTAACCCAGACGATTTTACTCTTAAATTGCAAAATACATTATTAATGACAAGTCGGGCACAATCCCGAAAAGTCGGGCAAATTTCTTTCCGCCCCCCTAATTGTTTCCTTCCGGTACGCCCATGTTTATAGTATAAATCAAAGTTTTAGTAATGTAATCAAAACGAGCCGTCGATGATAGATACTTTATGTCCGAAGGAAATTTAAAAATTCCATCCACAAACTTATCATAAAAGTATAAAATGATGTAAGACTAGTCAAACCAAAGCATTGTTGTAAAATGTCAGAGTTCATATATCAATTATTAACAACATATCTGTATTGGCTACAGGTGAACTGGGGCAGAAATAAATAACAATAATGCATAAAACACCCTTATTATCTATATAGACTGAAGTGAGCAATGGTTGTCGTACACAAAGCGGTTACCGGAAAATGACTTTACGCATCCGCGTGAAATATGGACTCCTTGTGACTAGGTAACCATTTTATTGTATTATTTTTCCTTATGACTGACTAATGATTACTATTGAGAGGGGCAGTGTCACGGTGCAGATTAGCTAAAATAAACGGCGCAAAGAAACGTTTAAAATTAATAATACACGAATGGAAAAGATGCAAGAGCCTTCATTTTTAAAACAAAGAAAGGATGTCTTGCATAACGGAGGAATTGCAAATAATATATCGTATTTCACTCATAACTTGATTAATTGTCGGGCAGACAGTTTTGCGAGTTCGCGCATATTTTGGATGCGCAGTAGAACAGTGACACTCTCCCTTTAACTCGTGCGAGTTAGGTTTCCTAGTTGTTTAAATGAATTTGAGTTTAAGATTGACTACAATTGTCATTATAAGTTGTCCAGTTTTAATACATACACTAATATTAATATGTACGTATATATACCGAATATTGAATACAGCTAAACGTACATGTCATTATATAGACAGCAAGTTTACAATGTAATGAGATTGTTGAACATGTGCAATGAGAGACACTTGCTTGCCGGACTTGGGAGACCAAGGAAATATTATTCTAAGGTAGTTAGTTAAATGATTATATAAAGTAATCCTATATATCACTATATATACTATTAAAAAACCGACCTAATCTTCCTATTTCATATAGGGTCCTAATTGGGTGTGGCACATTGACCAATATGATAAATTGAGGCACTACGGCTTTTGTATCCATGGCGCAATCGATGGATTTTCCAGAAGATTGATGTGGCTTAAAGTTTTCTCTACAAACAGAGATCCATGGATTGTTGCGAAATACTACTACGAAACTGTAAGATTAGTAAAAGGTATACTTCAGGAACACAGTGGAGTAAGCATTTTCAGAGAGATGTAATTTGGTGTCCATCAAAACATATACATTATAACATCGGATAAATCGTTATTGGGAACTCAGTCAACGAAACAGTTTTGAAACAGAATTGTGCAACCTTTATAGCATAGCCTATCAGAACTGCCTGTAATAGTCAGAACTTACTTGAACACACGAGTGTCCGTAATATAGAGACCATCATTAAATAATATACATGCAGTTACATCTTCAATATATATCAACTTATTAAATGAAAACATTTCAATTTAATATACCAAGAAAATTTTAGGTGTCCCAAGACTGGCCAGGAGTACAGTTTCTGTTCCTAAAAACTCCATAATACATGCAGTTTGAATAAATACACCGTCCCATAATAGATAAAGTTCCATAATACAGTTTAAATTAAAACACGGGGTATTAATAAATATTCACCCAACCATGGTTAACTGGAGTGGATGCATGTGCATGTGACAACAATTAATTAGTGCATATGTGTATCTTTAGTGATTCCGGCGATGATTAGAGTTGATCAAGGTACAGAGAACACCAGGGTATTTTCTTTGCGTACGAAGATTCAAATTTACCTAGTGGAAAAGTTGGAGAACGGGCTTTGATGAGAGGTATATGTATTCTGCTCATTACAATACCGCTGATGAATACCAGTGGGGAAAATAAGGAACGAAATCTGCCTCAGCCTTTTGAACATTAATGATATTATACAAAATAAAGGCCACGACCAAAAGAAATTAGAATATATAATTCAAAAATTTTAAATTTTCGACTGCATGTAACAGCCTTCGTCAGAAACTAAGATATATATATATATATATATATATATATATATATATATATATATATATATATATATATATATATATATATATATATATATATATATATATATATATATATATATATATATATATATATATATATATATATATATATATATTTTATTTTTTTTTCTAGAGGATTGAATGCTGGTGGAGTCATTTAAGGCGCCACTGGACAACTTTTTGGATTGACTTTTTTCAGGTATATATATCATAAATTTCAATAGTTGGTGACGATTGCATGGTGACACTGTTAAAACGATTCAGTATCGTTCTTCTCGTAATTATATTTCTTCAGGATCTAGAATCAACGGGGAATTGGCAAAAGGATAATATCATTCATAGGTATAAACTGTTTAATTTTTGTCAACAGAAATAATATACCAATCACAATGCGTAAAACAGAACAGAACATGAAGTTAAGAACTTTAAACATGAAGTAAGGGACATTGAAATAACTTCAAATTCGCAAATGTAATTAGGAAATTCCACTTGAGTTATAAACTCAAAAGAGGAACGCTTCACATATAGTTTACCTGTTAAATTTCTTTCAGAGGCTGTCTTTACTACATATTCATGCCCATATTACAGCGACAGATCGCAGAATTCATGCAGGAATACAACGCATATAGTGTCCGTAAACAAAAGGACAGACTGTGCCCACCTGGTGTCCCTGAAGATAATTTTCATTTCCCAGAGCGACAAGGTAACAATAAATCTAAGTTCATTTGGAAAAACGTGATGCTACAAATTTTAAATGGGGAAAATACGGGTAGTTCCGTAGTATAGAACTGATCACGGTTATCGGCTAGTTGTGTTGTCTGTGGCGATGAAGAAATACGACGTTCAGCAGTTGACTTGGGTCCATTGAATATACAGCAGAGGAAAGAGATGTACATTCATCTTGTTAATTTCTGCACACAATCAGGTATACATTTTTTATTATACGAGTGTACAGAATACAATGTATATGCTTTAATTACATAATATTAAGGTAATATAAACCAAATATCAATTAAACAAGTTATATTTAATTAAGGTACACATGGCTCGACACCTTCTCCCCATTTGGACATGGGAACAAGTCGATTATCTATGATTATATATATATATATATATATATATATATATATATATATATATATATATATATATATATATATATATATATATATATATATATATATATATATATATATAATCATAGAGATCAAGAATGATCTTTAGCAATTTATGCACAGCTCGACTTGTTCCCAATTTATCGGGCATTTTGTATTTTTGTGTACGTCACTATTTGTGCTTACTATGGCAGCAAGAAGAAGAAACTTAAGTCTAATAAGTGAAATTTGGTACAGTTAGTGAATGCACCTAAACAAATATTTTGGCACGTTTATGTTTATCTGGTTGTCATTAAGACACTGGTTACCAAGTCTCTCTGGCCTGTTTGTCTAATTCTTTGCTTCCAACATAAAGAGAGGAAATGGGGGAGAAAATTTCGTATATGCACTTTAAATTACACGTTATACTATGTCTATATATAGTATAGAGAGGCCACGTTACATGCACGAGTTAATTATAATTTTGCTTTGCGCATGCATGCATGCATGCAGTTAGGAAATAAATCCAATATTCTTTTGTTGCTATTTTCCAACAGCCGCTTTACCATTCTCATTGCTCGCTAGTCATAGAATAACACTGCATGCATGATCAATCTATGATATATGCCTAATAAGCTGCAAGATTTAACAGTGAAATGACTGTAGCAAAATATCAATGAAAGAAATTTAACTTTGTCAACCCATGCAACCTATATGAGGTGCATGCATAGTTCGATTGATGTGGCCGTTTTTGTCTTTTAACGCTGTTGTATATGCAAGTGCATGTTGCATCGTAAGCGTTTTATAACATAGAAATAAAAAGTTCCAGATCTGGTTACGTTCACTAACGCAATATGTTTAATTAAACTCTAATTCAAACAGGTGTTAACTTCGTCAATTAGATTGATGCTGATGCAAATTTTATGAAATGGTTCAGTTTTGATTCGACATGTACTAGTACTTCTGTCTGTCAACAAGTATATTCAGCTTTTGAAGAATTTCCTGCATAGACAGCCGTTCCATGGGATCCTTAAAGCATCCATCAACAATTTCCTTTATCTTCTGATGCTGCTTCAAACCATCAGTATTCGGATATTCGTTTGAAAAGATTTTGGCAAAGAGTTGTCCTGGGTTCACAATATCGCTCCACACACGCTTGGACGTATACAATTCGAAGATGATGCAGCCAATGGCGTAAACATCCATGTATGGTTGCGGACGTTTTCCTGTTAACGATTCTTTATGTTGGTACATCATAGTACCAGCATGCGCCGTATTTTTCGTAACAGCAGTCATCGTGAACACGCTAACACCAAAATCACATATTACCGTACGATATGTTCTTTTCTCTACCTTTAATGACATATAAGTAAGCGGAAGATGTTATTTCGCTGGCCTCAAAGTGACAAAATATAACTTAGTAATTGTTTTACTAATAATACTAATCCTATTCCAAATCCTACTTCAAATTGGTTTTAAACCAATCTTAAAGAAAAAAGTTTTGACGAAATTTCATTTTGAGGTCAGCGAAGTAAACTAACCTTTCCCCATAAGAAAGTACTCCATGAATATTTGTATTTTATTTTTGCACTTGCAATTAAATTGCGCTCTTTGCCTATACATTTAATTTAATATAAGTCAGCGACTCAATGTGCACTTTCTAAATAGTTTTAAATGCACTTACGAGGACATTTGCCGGCTTCAAATCTTGGTGTATGATCTGCTCCTCGTGCAAGTAATGACATCCACTTGCTACTTGATACAATATATAGGGCTTGGCGTCATCTAGTAACTGAAACATAATAATAATCTATATATGTTGGTAAGATTCACAACTGTACGTTTCGATAAATATACGAAATTACCATGTTTTGTGATGGAGTGTTTGTAACTTATTCTTTATAACATTTACACCTAACCATTATACTCATCCCCGAGCCGGCGGCGCGAAGCGCCGTGCGAGGGTACTAATTCCGCACGGCTAATTATACCCGGGTATGTGAAAACATAGCGAAGTGCAAAGAGTGCAAAGTTGTCCTCCATTTTGTTTATGTCATGGACGGTTTTCGACGTTATGCGCATGCGCGAGTACAAACTCTGTCGCAGTAATTGATTTTTAATTTGAAAAGACGCATTTTGCTGTTTTACAGCAATTTTTTGTTTTAAATTTCGTTGAAAAGTTTACAAAAGTACAACACGGTTTTTTATTCTCGATTCTAACTGGAAATAAGCCTGCATTTTTATGAGTTAGTGGCTGTTCAACCGTGAAACAAAGTTTGTATAATAATTGTTTTGATGTTTTGATGTTGATGTCTTTGCTAATTTAATCGTTGTTGTTCATGCCGGTTTGGGTAAGTGTAAAATTCAGTAGTAAAATTCCATGCCATACTTGCTTTGTGTTGTCGGTTTTATTCAAATGTGCGAAATTTTTAAGACATTTTTAACTCGATAATTCACTTTAATGCAAGCTGGTAGGCCTATGCATGAAATTGCAGTGAATGTTAATGTTCATTATATTAAAAGCCAGCGCATCAGTTGTGTTTTTATGTTTGTTTATAATGGTCTTAATACTTTATGTGGAGTTTTTTATAGTTCATCAGTTAAGAAAGGCGAGGGGTTGCTGCATGTATGTATTTTCTAGTTAGAGAATTATTCGTTTCATTATTTGTTATAATTAACCCATCTTATAATCTTTTTTATAGCTTCATGGCCATTTGTTATGTTATAATTAGCCGTGCACGTGCAAATTGTATATAATTGTACAAAAAATACGAATATTAATATACAGCAAAACCCAATTACCTGAAACGGTGGCTCTGTGGAAAATATAAGTTTTTCTAGGTTCGACCCACTGATAAAAGGAGTTACTATCCATAAACTATCTTGTTTTTTGAAATAACCCATCAAAAGTAACAGGTTTGGATGACGTAGTTTCCTATTAAAAAACAATGAATTATAAAAGTTATTCAGAAAACACTATTTCATTAGCGATCTGCATAATTAACCTTCGTTAAACTATTCATATTTACTAAGAAACATGCGATATTTCTTTCTTGGCACCTTGAATAGACCATTAGAAAAGTAATGAATGTGGTGGGACTTTCGGAGGCAATATTTCTTCGTATACCAGCAGCAGAATATATTTTTTCCATTCGATTACTGGACTTATCGGCAATATGGACATTGAATATTCAATATAAAACCTTCAATCATAATAGGGTTTATAACTCTATTTATATTATATAGTCATTCCCGAGCCGACGGCGCGAAGCGCCGTGCGAGGGTACTAATCCCCCCCCCCCCGTTATTTACACCCGGGGAAACGAAAGCATTAGCGGAGTCTAAAGTTCATCAAACATCGCGGGCGTGGGTTACCAACGGTGTTGGGTGGGTGGTCATCCTCACTGATCTCAAAAATATGGTGGACTTTCACGAAAAGCGGACATTGATTGGTTCAATTTAAAGTTTGCATTATAACGACTGCATGACGACAGCGAAATAGCAAACATTTCTTGATCTATGATTTGATAAATCATTGATACATTTCTTGCAAATATGTTTCATTTTTGCTCGCATTTTTGCAAGATCAGTCAGTTGTAAATTTCAAAAACTCTCTTTGGAAGAAACTGCGAAACTGAATCGGTTAAAAGAAGGGAGCCGACATTAAAGAAGGTAAGTTTGTTTTAAATATTGATTTTACATTGGATTTAAAACCCAACGGCCTTTGGCTTTGCGTATATGAAACAACTAAACAAGACAGCATAGAATTTCAGTGTATCTTTAATAATTATTGATTCCGTTTTTTATATGATATTGAATTATATATAAAAAAAGAAAGGGGTTTATTTGAGGGTTTCTACATGCATGTATTTTCTAGTCTACCGTATATGAGCTGTTTTGCAATCTGATTGGTTGAATTACTCGCCGTATATCAGCTCATATACGGCGAGTAGCGAAAACAAGATGGCCGTCCAAAAACTACATGAGTTTTGAGAAGCAGAAAAAGGAAAATATTCGCTTTGAGAAACATAATAGTACAGGGAAAACTCTAAAAAAAAAAAATTGACAGGTTAGCAAAATACATTTATTACGTAGAAATTATATGTTTGCGATGTTACTCTGAGTGTATATCTACACTGGGCGAGCTTGAAAAATATGCCACGGTCAAGCTCGCCCGGTGTGGATATACACTCAGAGTAACATCGCAAACATATTATTAACCTGAGTACACAACACCAACACAGAAAAAAAAATACGTAAAAATTAATTTAAATACAAGTCTTTTAAAGAATTAATACCGAAACAACAGCAAAAAAAACATGTTCATTGAGAATATAAATTGTTCAGAAACGTTTGCAATGCATGAACGACAAATTAATTTGCAGTCAACAAGCACTTACTATAGTACCAAACATCTGTGTAATATATCTGAACTTTCCTGTGAGATACAGTATAGAGGTTCTAAAACCATTTCTTTCACTTCGTCTTCGAGTTGTAAAACAATTAAAAGCATTTCAAGTTTTCTGGCCGAACAAATTGTCAACACATTGTAACAGTGAATAATTTATTACTGCTTCAATTAATGGCTATATTACTTATTAGACTCAGTATATTATAAAAAATATATACCATTCGCTCTCGTCGTATATGGCCGATAGCCGACTCGGTCAGTACGCATCTCGTCGGCTATCAGCTCATATACGACTCGAGCTCATGGTATAATTGTTAAACATTTGCGGTTACTATACCTCCATATTTGCAGTTCTTTGATATTTTGCCAGTCATTTTGCCATTCTGGTGGTAAGGTTATGCATTTAATTGCAATTTCTGTTCCTCGCCATTCGCCTTTGTGTACAGTACCAAATGTGCCCTGACCAATCACGTCTTTCATTTCTATATGATTTTCATCAATTTCACCAACTAATTTTAACATAAAATATAAAAATAAGTAAATAAAATTGTAATAGCAAAGAAGAATCTGTTCATGCGTCAGGAGACCAAGTTATACGCTGGTGAATGTTTGGTTGCCCTAAGATCATCAATTACAAGATCAAAACGCACCTCAAATCGTTTTGGCGGTTGAAAAAGTAGCATAAGATACATTAATAAGTTAATCATAATCATATGTATAGTCTTGACAGGGATATATGCCTTCATATTCTCGCAAATATACTGCATACCATGCAGTTTAATGACTATATTTATTTAGTATAGAATCATGGAAAATTAAATTAAAAAATTAAAATGGTCCTACCAGTATACCATTGCAAATGCTGCATGTAATTTGATTGGCTACTTTACTCTCTATCTATTCCTCGATAGATAACGTGTACTAAAACAATCATTTTCCTGGCGCACTTTTTAAAAAAAGGCTTTTATTGAATTATTTTTTGCATGGTATATTTTATGTTTATTCTTTGATTGTACTAAAACAATTAGATTACTCTCTCGCTCGATTGCTATGAGGTTATACTTAATTCGGGCTTCGCCCTCATCAACTATCACCTCATAGAAATTGAAAGAAAGAGTAAATGAGTAATCTAATTGTTAAATAGTAAATAGTCTTGTAACTATATGGGTTACTATAGTATACTATAGTTATTACCGATTTCGTCATGTTTTGTCATATCCGCAGACACAGGGGGCATTTCTGCTTCGATAATTAATCCCTCACTCTGTTTGATGTTGTCGTTCACTTTAACAACACAATGATACCGCCCCGGCTCATTCACGAATAAAAGGCAAGATTTTCGTCCTTGCTTCAAAGGTACACCATCTCTGTACCAGGCATACTCTACTTCCATTGTGCAATGGTAAAACGAAAAGCATGCCAGCACCAAGCAATTATCCTCGTCGATACCAATGGCCTTATCTGGCCCATGTGTAATTAGGCCATGCGCTGCAAGAAAATCATGACGTAATTACATTTGTTTCAAATCAACTTAAATAATAATTTAAACATAAGTAGGATTTATAAAATGAATTGATGGCCATTATATAGAGAGAATGTGATGCTCATGATGCAGCAAACGTATTTATTATGGGTGAATATCATTATTTGGGGAATCTCGCTCGATCGTCTATCCTAAATTTTCATTCACAAAATCTGTCAAGAATTATATCAATCGACTCAGATGCTCCCAAATCCTAATACTTACCCAAACACTTTTATTTACTGAATGAACTTGCGGTTAGAGTTCGACAACTTGCATGCAGTAGCTCCTGCAGTTGGTTAGAGCACTACACAGGAATCGATATTAGTTGCATTTCTATGAAGCTATGGGATCAATATATTCTGTAATGCAATTTACATTTTTGTTTTCACTTTATTTTCACTAAAGCCAACTGATTGTTTTAATTTTTCTCACGTGATCGCTTTTATATTCAATAGTATAAAGCACATGTTTTTATATTGAATAGGGAAAAAAGCACATGCATGTATTTTCCGCGACCCATTTCCGCGATCGAAACGTAACTAAGCTTTACTTGTACTTTTCAGGTAGTTGAATCCTGCTCCGATCCATCCGAAGCTATTATTAATATTGGGATTTCCTGAGTTTATTATAAAATTATGTAACTAAACAGTTTCGTCGAATAAAAATATACGTTTCCGTCATCTCGGTGTTAGTTCAGTTAGGTGGTGTTTATTTCACAAATTTAAATTATTGTATATTAGGCTATGAACCGAAATCATACCTTCTTCTGCTTCGCACACTTTGATGTCAAAAGCATTTTTAACACTTACATCGCGTTCTAGAAACGGTTGTTCTTTACCATCTTTAACTGAAACAATATATATATTAATTTATCACATACCCTTACATCACATTTTGACCCTCTAACTCTCGACGAAATCCAGGAGGGCCTAGAAGTACCAAACCACTACCTCGTTGACGCCCAACAGATCTATATGAAACTTAGTAAAATTAAAACCACAAAATCACCGGGTCCTGACATGTTTCCAAATAAAATCCTGAAAACATTTGCCTTTGAGCTTGCCCCAGTTATCTCAGACATTTTCAACTCATCCATGACACAAGGCACCTTCCCAAAGGCATTGAAGAGATCTATTGTAGTGCCTGCCCCTAAGGTATCACCCCCAAAGAGTATTGAAGACGACCTACGACCAATATCTTTAACATCTCAGATCGCCAAAGTTATGGAGGATTGTACTTTGGACAATTTTTTTCCTGAAGTTGTAAATAAACTTGACACCAAACAATTTGCACTCCCAAAGAAATCAACGACCCACGCTTTGGTCTACCTTTTACATTCAATCTTGGTAGCTCTTGAGAGAGGTTCCTGTACTGCCAGATTGTTCTTTGCAGATTTCAAGAAAGGTTTTGACCTAGTAGACCACAATGTTATTATTAAAGAATTAACCCTGCTTGGTACCTATCCCTCTATAATTCGGTGGATTAAAGCCTTCCTCTGCGATCGCGAACAATGTGTCCGGGTGGGAACTTCTATGTCCTCTTGGAAGAAAACAAATGGTGGCTTGCCACAAGGTACAAAGTTGGGTCCATTATTGTTTGCTGTTCTCATTAATTCCTTACTCAAAACTGGCCCAGTAGGATCAAGTTTGTGGATGACACCTCAGCCCTAGAGATTATACCACGTTTTTCATCCAGTTTAATGCCATTAGTCGTAAATGAAATCTCGGACTACGCCTTAGAACGCGGAATGGAACTAAATTATAAGAAATGCAAACAAATGTTGATCAACTTTCTTAAATATAAAGGATCTGATGATGAAAACTCGATCTATGTTGCTGGTAAACCGGTGGAAACTGTGTCCTCTTTCAAACTCCTAGGTGTATGGATATCAAACGACTTGTCATGGAATACTCATGTCGACATGGTATTGAAAAAGGCAAATTCTCGCTTATACGCATTGCGTCTGTTAAAAAAGGCTGGTCTTCAAGCATCTGACATCGTCCAAATATATATCTCATTCATCAGATCCAGAATTGAATATGCATCCCCTGTATGGTCGTCAATACCTAAATCATTATCTGACATTCCCGAATCTGTTCAAAAGAGAGCATTGAGAATAGCTTATCCAGA